CGGGCCAAAATCGGTAACATTTAAAAAGCCACTCGCGATTGCAAGCCGATTCGGACAAGTAAACGTAGTCGCGCTGGCGCGTCGACCCGGACGAACCGCGGTCGCTGCGACAGTAGCGCGGCCCCACTTCTGAGCCGCCGCGCAAACGCCGCCACGTCGGAGCGCCTCTGGTCAGACCGACAATATGTGATTTGTCGCCCGCTCATGATTACATACCAATTCGCGCGCCTACACGCACGTTCGCGGGCGTCTCCACCCGAGCGAATCGCGCTCGCGACGACGGTGGCACGTTCCTACTGCTGAGGCACCTCGGAAACGCCGCGACGCCCGAGCGCCTCTGGCCGGGCCAAGAATCGATAAAAACACCTTCGCCCACGCGCGATTGCAAGCCGAGACATGCACCTGAACGTGCGTTCCCCAGCGTTTCGACACGAGCGAATCGCGCTCGCGACGACGGTAGCACAATCCTAATGCTGAGGCACCGCGGAAACGCCGCGACACCCGAGCACCTCTGGCCGGACCAAAAATCGATAGAACAAAATCCGCCCACTCGCGATTGCAAGCCAATACGGCGCGCGGCACCGGAAGCGCACGCGCCGCTGCTTTGCGTCCTCGCTCATCGTCTTTGTCGTCGTCGTCGTCGTCGTCGTCGTCGTCGTCTTCGTCGTCGTCGTCGTCCAGGGTCCTCGTTCTGGATCCACCCCGCGCCGCCCATGCACTCCGCGCCCACGTCCTCGTCCACAAAAATGCCCAGGACGGGGGCAGAGAGCTCCGGCGAGAACGTGACGACCTCGCCGTGGTGCACGAGGGGCGCCTCGTGCAGCGCGGTCGCCGTCGCCGTCGCCGTCGTCGTCGTCGTCGTCGTCGTCGTCGTAGTCGTCGTCGCCGGCCTCGGCGTGCGTCGGCTCCGGCGCCGCCCCGCCGTGGCCGCCGCCGCCCCTGCCGCCCGCCTTGCCCTTCCCGGCGGTGTCCCCGCCGCCCTTGCCCTTCCCTCCGCCGGGCTTGCCGCCGCCGCCGCCGCCCTTCCCTCCCCCGGTCTGGCCCCCGCCGCCGATGGCCGCCTTCCCGCCGCCCGCTTTGCCCCCCCCCGTAAGGGAGGGCGCGGTTGGCGGGGTCGCGAACCCGGCCAACACCAGCGCGCGGCATCGCGCGCGAGCGGCAGGGGAGGGAGGGCGATGAAAAGTGTTCGCTGGCGGCGCGCGTTCGGCGCGGGCGCAATCGTCCCGTCTCTCGTCGTCGTCGTCGTCGCCCGGGTGGTCATCGTCGTCTGCGACGTCTTCGTCACCTCCGTCGTCTCCTCCTCCTTTTCCTCCTCCTTCTCCTTTTCCTCCTCCTCCTCCTTCTCCTCCTCCTTTTCCTTTTCCTTTTCCTCCCCCGTCCTCCTCCTCCTCCTCCTCCTCCTCCGCCTCCGCCTCCTCCTCCTCCTCCTCCTCCTCCTCCTCCTCCTCCCGACGACGAACGCGGAGCAATTCTTCGGCGACGACGACGACGACGACGACGGCTCTCTCAGAGACCGCCCAAAATGCTCCCACGAAACCACCAACACGCGCCCAAAGGCCCCGAGCCTCAAAAGGCCCCCCGGAACTCCTAGCAACGTTGCCTCCCCTCCCCTTCTAAAAGACCCACACCACGCACCCGGCCCCCATGCACCCCACGCTTTTCGACCAACATCTCAATGTATGTCCACGACTTTCTCGACGGCGCCTCACCACCGCGGTGAGCAAGAAGCTAGCCAAAAAGTCGAAGCAGTGAAAAGTACCCACGGCGCAACCCGCCCACCAAGCCACGCAATATGTTTTACAGCGAGCACGGGATTACCCCCCCGTCGCTCGGACACAGGATAGCGCGGCGTCGGGACCACCTGCCCACTACATGTGTTATTTCGCCTGACGAGAGACCTAACCACAAGCACCCGCGAGAACCGCGAGGATGATGATACGAAGGAGGAGGGCACGCAAACCCCAAATAGCGCACGCGGTATACCCTCCGCTCTCGTAGGCGGCGCGCCGCAGGAAGAACGACACGCGGATCAGTGCAGGCAAAGGGGGGGCGAATGGGTGGGACGCATGCGCACTTTCGGCGGAACTCCCCATGGGCAACGAAGCGTGTGAGGGTTGTGCCAGATGAAATGGGCGGGGGGGGCGCATGCGGACGTCGCCGCTGGGGCCTTCGGCGGAGGCCCCCCTTGGGAATACGAGACGTGCGAGGGGTGTACCGACATGGGTCGGTCGGACGCACGCGAACGTCGCCATCGAGGCCTTTGGTGGGGCCCCCTACAAGGCCACGAACCGTGTGAGGGGTGCGTCGACATGGGTGTGGCAGAAACATGTGGCCGCGCCCGCTCGGGCCTGAGGTGGAAATCCGTGTAGGGTCCACGAACCGTGCGAGGGGCGTGCAAAAAAATGGTGGCGCGGGCGCATGGGAACTGTGCCGGTGGGGCCTTTCGGTGGAGCCCCCTATGGGGCGACGAACCGTGTGAGGACTGCACCAAAATCGGTGGCGCAGACGCATGGGAACGTCGCCACTGGGGATTTGGGCGGAGCCCTCTTATGGGGCCACGAACCGCGTGAGGGGTGCGCCGACATGAATGGCGCAAACGCCTGGGAACGTCGCCACTTGGGCCTTAGGTGGAACTCCGTATGGAGCCACGAGCCGCGTAAGGGGTGTGCCCAAAAATGGTGGCGCGGACGAATTTGAACTGTGCCACTGGGGCCTCAGGTGGAGTTCCCTATTGGGCCGCGAACCATGTGGGGGTGTGCCGAAATTAGTGGCGCGGACGCATGGGACCGTCGCCACTAAGGCCTTCGGTGGAGCTCCCTATGGGGCCACAAACACTGTGAGGGGTGTGCCGAAATTGGTAGCGCGGACGCATGGGAACATCGCCACTACGGCCCCAGGTGGATTCTTTATTGGGCCACGAACGAAATATGGGTGTGCCGAAAAATTGGTGGCGCGGGTGCATGGGAACTGTGCCACTGGGGCCTTAGGTGAAGTTCCCTACGGTGCCGCGAATCGTGCGAAAAGGTGTGCCAAAATGGGCGTCGCGGACGCATGGGAACGTCGCCACTGGGGCCTTTAGGTGGAGCTCCCTATAGGGGCGACGAACCGTGTGAGTGGTGCGCCGAAAACGGGTGGCGCGACGCATGGAAACGTCGCGGTTGAACATTCGGTGGGGCGCCCTCTGGGGCCGCGAACCGTGTGAATGGCGTGGAAGAAAATGGGCGCGGACGCATGGACACGTCGCTACTGGGGCCTTACTTCATGAGCTTTTTGCACATACGCACTCACGATGTCATTTCCAACTGATGTACAAGTTTGTTATAACATGCTTGTAACAGTTTGTAACAGTTCGAAGTAGTTATAAATGCCGCAACACTTATACCTATTTGCACGACTTACACCTAGTTGTACTGGCGCTTAAGAGAACAAGTTGTAAGTAGTTAGGCTTGGCACATAGCATGACTTAGCTTGAGGCGCGTTTTGAAAACATAGAAAGTTAGGATGAGTTAGCCGGACTTAACTTGGAGCGTACAAATTGTCGCCGCTTTCCTTTGAAATCGACAACCCTCTAGGCGCGTGGGGGCCCAACGTTGTTTTGTGTCGGGCTTCATCGGTTGGACCCCATCCACGATGGGGACTCACATGCCTGGGAACCCACCTGGAGCGGGCTGACGACCCGATGGCGGTCCGCGGATCACGCCCATCTGCCCCGATTGCGGGGCGGCGGTTTTGCCGTGTCGACGACTCACATGCTTGGGGACCCGATGGCGGTCCGCGGATCACGCCCATCTGCCCCGATTGCGGGGCGGCGGTTTTGCCGTGTCGACGACTCACATGCTTGGAGACCCGATGGCGGTCCGCGGATCACGCCCATCTGCCCCGATTGCGGGGCGGCGGTTTTGCCGTGTCGACGACTCACATGCTTGGGGGCCCGATGGCGGTCCGCGGATCACGCCCATCTGCCCCGATTGCGGGGCTGCGGTTTTGCCGTGTCGTGCCGCGCCGTGCCCTTGTGGATGGGGTCCTCTGGACCCCGCCCCCCTTTCAATTGCATTTCTGTTTATGGACGGTTCGCCGCCTTGTGTAGGACCCTATGGGCGGAACCCCGTGGACGGGATCCATGATGGACGGGGCCCTCTGCATGGGCCCCCCCCGTTGCCATTGAGTTTCTGCTCAAGGACGGCTCGCCGCCTTGTCTGCGTTGGGCAACCCACGCTTCGCCAGCCCATGCGCGCAGACATCCAATGTCCAAGCGCGCTCGGCTGCACGTGCACAGCGATGAGTTCGCCAATGCCGCCGGGATGGGCATGGTCGCCGACAACCTTTCTCTCAGCTTGTCCGCTGCCGACGTCATAACGCGAAAACTGGCTGGCACCGAAAAGAAAAAGAAAACACAACACGTGCTGGTATCTGGGCTTACGATGCAAACTTCGTTTGGCCATTTGATGAGAACGATCGATATCCCGTTAGATTGCGAAGATGGTGGCCCCTCATCATACAAACTGCTCTACATTGACCCTTGCGGCATGCTGGAAGAATTTTGTATTCGAAACCCTGGGTTTGCAGAGTTGCTTTGCACATCATGCCCGGATGGGCGATTCCCTTTAGCTTTGTATTCGGATGAATTGTGTGCTGGGAACCCTTTGAAGCCCGACGGTACGCGGATGTTGCAAGCTATTTACACGGGGGGCTCACGCCAACCCGCAGCCCCCAAAACAGAGGGAGGGCGAGGGGAAGGGAAGGACGACGAGGGGAGGAGGATACGGGAGCATAGGGGGAAGGGAAGCGAGGCAGGAGGACGGGGGAGGACGGACCTTAATGGAGACGTCGCAGTCCTACTTCTCTTTTACCCTCTCCTCCTCCTTATCTCCCTCACCCCTGTCTGCCCTCGCCCTCATTCGCCTGGCCTCCCCCTTTTGGGGGAGAGCGGACTGGACAATATCGACGCTCCCAGCTTGGTTTAAATGCAGAAGTTGCGGGTGGTTTACATTCACCTTCGTCCCAGTGAGTATCCAAGACCAGATCCTAGGTGGCCTCAGTTCTCTGATAAAGACAGCTCTGCAAGTGTTTTTTGCTGTTCACCAACCATCATTCAAAGTTGGTTTCGCCCTTCCTGCTCGGGCTGGCAATCGCATCGTTCGCACTGGATTCTTAAAATACATGATTCAAGATGAAAAAGCTGTGAAACATACATGGTCAGTAAAGGGCGCCAGCGGGATTAAACCATGTTTGCATTGCAAAAACATTTGCAAGACATCCCCAGCAAAATTGGAAGGCCAGACGTACCTCAAACACATCTCCGAGGCCAAACCGGCAGACTTCGACCGACACTCAAGAGAAAGTTTTTTCGAGATGTGCGACGAGCTCGCCCGGAGGTACCCCAATGTCACCAACGCCGAGTTCGAACGCCTCGAAAAAGCGTACGGCCTTACGTACGATGAAAACAACATGGCGTATTCAGAAGAGATTCGCCAGATATGCGATCCTATCTCGAGTACGTATTGGGACTGGATGCACACGTATTGCGCCAGCTCTGGTCTCGCACAGTTCGAGTGCAATTGTTTTTACCACAAGCTTCAAGCTCTCGAAATCGAACAGTTTGGCCCAGAAAAACTCGACGAATATGCTAAGGAGTTCATTTGGCCTAAAGGCTGTGGAATGCGGGCGCTTCCCAAACATTTCTTTGTCAACCGACCGCAAAAGGTGGCGATCCCAAACGGACAACCCCCTCATCCACTTTCAATTCCTCCTTCCCCCCCCCGCCCCCCCTTCCCCAGAAGAGGGAGGGGGCGGGGGAGGGGAGGAAGGGGGGGCCCAGGGCGGAGGGAGGGAAGAGGGATGGAGGCGAGCGGGAGGAGGGGAGGGGGGGATGAAGATTTGTTGCGGTTCCGAAAGGCTGGGAGTCACATCAAAGCGTATGCGGGGGAAACAATGACAGCGGTCATGGTGTTGGCATCCCTCGCGGCAGACGTCATTCAGCCCTCTGGCCACCTCGCAACAGAGTGTAGAT